AATTATAAATAACTCGAAATTTAATAAAATTATATTTTTTTATTGAAACTAAAAGATGGCACTAATTACTATCGAAATTTTCTTAATGGAAATAAATATAGAGAACTGCAATTACATCAGATTTTATAAAAAATACTATTTGTTTTAAATTATTTTTTCAAACATCTCTGATTAAGTGCTTTGCATTTATTCTTATTAAACCAATATTAAAAATGATAATGACACTATTGAATTTTTATATATAAAATTAGCAATAAAAATTGTAGGTATGTAATTGCCTTTTACCTGTATTTTTTATTTTAACTTTAATTTTAAACTTTATGAATTACTGTCTGTCTATTATATGAAGACATTTTAGCAATTATTTATTTAATTTGAAAAATTTACTGAAAATACTTCTTCGTGATCTATCATTTAATAAAAATTATTAGTAAAACATTGTAATACTGTGAAATATTGGTAAATTAGTAAATATACTGAAAGTGCTTATTTTTTCTAACTAAGTCTCAAAATTTATACATTAGCACTTCCAGATTTTTTGACTAGTTTCAGTTCTACAAAGTAGATAATTATTTATTTGGCTATTAATTTATTATTTATTAATAATATTAAATAAAAATTAATGGAAGTATCTCTTCATAATCTTCATAATCTATCTATCTATCTATAATCTATTAATAGTTATATACTTAGTAATTTAAATGCAAAGTGAAAATTTTATTTTGGTTACTCAAAATTTATACATTATCAGTCTTGGATTTTTGGCTAGTCCAGCTTTTAAGAATTTAAAAAATATTTATGTGGAAAATTTGTAATAAAAACCAATTGAAATACTTCCTCGTAATCTATAATTTATTTATTGACTGCACCATATTTTAGCAATAAAATTTTATAAATCATTAAGATATTATGAAAATGATTTAAATAAAGATGGATGAAGCTTTCATCAAACCGATTAAGTCTATTCCTATGAATTTTAATATTATGTATGTGTCTGATATGAAATAAAAATTCAATGGAAATACTTGCTGGTAATCTTTAAAATTTATTTATGTATTACTATCATGCATTGTTTTGATTCGATTAATTTCCTATGACGCATTTCTAAATACTAGAGATACCAGTATATGGTACTTGTACACGTCATACATTCTGATAAAAAATTGTTACTCATATTTAGATATTAATGATTTTATTGATTTAATACTAGTAAAAATTAATGTGATTAACATACTTTTAATATACATGATTAGGTTTTGTGATAGGCCGGTTATTTGTTAATTGCAACATAAAAAATGAGATATTTTTTATGTGGGCTTTAAAGCTTTCATCGGGTTCCATAGTAATGGCATGGAATTATTAGGTTTCTGTGTCCAAAATATAAATATTAATTAATGATTAATATTTGTTCATTGCATTTCCGTACTTAAACAATATTTGCTAATTTGAACAATTTGTTCAAATAACTTTTATCATCATCCCTTTATTGTGTTTTGCAACGCCTCAATCAAAAATAGGTTCTTTAACCCTGATTTTTATTATCATTATTCTATGTGACGATTCAAATCGTTCTATGAATATTAATAGAATGTTCTATCAATTGTGATGGCGAATTTATTTAATAATTGAACTCACAGATAATAAAAAAATGACACGACTTTCAATTCTTTTAAACTCTCTAATAAATGTGTTAAGTGAAATTGACGAACACCTTCTAATAGTTAGCCTCGGTATATACAAGTAGAAATTGAAATGTATTTATTATGTTGTAATATAATTTTAGTAATTAAAATTGAAAAAAAATATATATAAGGTAATATATACATTTTTGTAACAATTACTTAATAACAGTTTAGATATATAACAAATTAATATATACAATTATAATAATGACTTCCCTTTCTTTATAAGAGCATAATTTCTTCGCCGTATTTAGGAAAAAAAATGTGATTTTTGAGAAAAGGTTTTATTTTAGTTTTTAATTTCGACAATTACTTTAGTTCCTTTTTATTAGTTTTAAATATAATTACAGTCGTAGTTGATAAAGTCGATTGCAACGATTGTAAGGTATGTTATACTGGTGTAATTTTCTAAAAAGTTAAAAAAAAAGAAGCACCATACCTTTAATTTGAAAAAATCAAAACAATTCAAAACTATGTTTTCTGAACCTTTAATTAATAATAGACACACTTTTAAATTAAAATTATTTATTATTTATATTATTTTAAATTAAATTAATTACTATACCAAGAAAAATTGCTGATCTTAGAAGATTTGTTGCATCTTGTTTCATTCGTTTAATGTTTAAATAACTAATTAATTAACACAATCAAGTATTAAAATTATTATCGATTTTTTCGACTTATTAAGTCTATTTATTGGGTATGTGATGCCATAAAAAAGTAGAATTTTAATTTATATCAAATGAGAATAAAAAAGTGTTATAAAGATATTATCAAGTAGCCATTATTTTAGCCAAGAACATGCAATAAATAAGTCATTGATAAAATCAATCCCATAAAATAATAAAAAAAACTCTTTGACGACAATAAATTAATATTATAAACGCGCTGACCATATGTCGAATATAAAAAGAAAATTTATGCACATGTTTATGCATTCATTTTGTTTAGGCATGTGTTGAAGAAAAAAAGAGTGAAAATTTATTTTTATTCAGAGGATTTGATAATTATATAATGCCATTTTTTAATTTCATGAAGCTGTAGAAATATGCAATAAAAATATTACGATATTTGATTATAAAGATAATTAAATTAAATAGTTAGATTAAGATAATGCTATCAGGTTCTATTTTTAGGACAATTTTCATTTGTTTATGATAAAAATATATTTACTATTATAAAATTTAAAATTTCAATATATTTTTAATATACGTTTATATTTAAAAATGTTTCTGATTTAAAATTAACTAAATTTTTTACTTTTTTTTTTCACCAATATTAATTTATATATCAATATTTGGCTTTAGTACGTTCTTTGTGATATTGTAAGATTTCAATGCTGTAATATTGTAAAATATTATAAAAAATGATTTATTATTAGTAAACTATTAATTGTTTAGCATTCAAATAAAAAATACAATTATTGTAGATTGTAGTATTGTCTTATTTTTTTTAATAATAATAATGACTTGAATAATTTCTCTATATTTATATTATTGTTTAGTATTAATTATAGACTAAAACTACTTTCCACATAATAATATTTTTTTACTTAATACATTGCTTGTCATGTGAGTCATATATGTCATCAGAATTATATGTCTGACAAATATGATTTGATAGAAGGAGAAAAAATGTTTTAATATAGGGCCATGTCAGTCATATATGTGTGACAAAAAATAGTTTTTTTTTTCAGGAATTTTATCAATTTTTTTCTTCGATACATTATTGATTCATTTTTAACTAAATTATCTAAAACAGTTACCATGACCAACGTGATTTTTTTATATTATTTTAATTAATATATTTTCTTATATTATAATATTAAAATTAATGTAATTATACTAATTAAATGACCTGCCTTTGCCAAAAACTATTCAGCACGTCTCCTTATCAATACAAAACTAATGTTTTTTAAATTATTCAAATTCGTTGATCGGTGTTCCCGAAATCGTCGATAAAAATTTGTATCCGCACACACACACCACACACATACACACGCACATACACACACACACAAATACATCAATTTTTTCTGAGGTATGTCAAAATATTCAGAAACCTTTGAAACGTAAACATATATACAAATTTTCATTTTTGATTTTTTTTCGATAATTTACCCTACGGGAAGTTAAATGATAATTAGATTATTAATATAACTTATCGACTGATAGTGATATTAACATATCTTTATATTTTTTTGTAAATAAAGTTTTAGCTGAATAACATGGAATTGTAAATATTGGAAAATTGCGACGTTTTAATTAATTAACGCCATGTCAGTCATATGTGTCTGACGCTAAAAAGATCTACATAAGCCATATCAGAGATATCAACATGGTAGAAGGGGAAAAACATTATTAATATAGGGCCATGTCGGTCATGTATGTGTGAAATATAAAATTAAGTGGGAAAACTAATTTTCTTTGATACATTAAGTTTTCTTGATACACTTTTAACTAAATTATCTATTAAAGTTATTATGGTCCGTGTGATAATTTTTCTGATATTATCGTGGCGATTACCAGTATATAATAAGTGATTATTATTATTATTAACTTCCCGTAGGGCAAGTTATAGTAATCGCAAAAAATCGAAAATGAAAATTTTTATATATCTTTACGTTTCAATGGTTTCTGAATATTTTGGCATACCTTAGAAAAAATGGATGTATGTGTGTGAGTGTATGTGTTTGTGTGTGTGTGTAAGGTAACTCAGTTTTTAAGAGAATGGAGCGTCCGATTTTAATAATTTAAAAAGCATTTTACTTTTATTGACAAGATAAAGAATTGATTAAATTTTTATGAAGGCAGGTCCAGCGGTTTCGGAGATCTAAAGAAAAAAGTAAAAAAAATGCCATTTGGCGGTCAAAAACGAGCATTAGACATATGCACATCAAATTATCAGATATTTTATAGAGATTTTAACAATAAGTATAAATTTTGTTTACATTCCTATGGGTTCCGTACCAATGTTTATTCGTTAGACGGCGACGCAGCGCTTATGCGCTTTGACATCTCGTGTCTATGCAGTTAAAGCAGTACGATTGCTTTGAAAAAAAGTTCAGAATTTCCAAAATATGTCAAAATAAAGAAGACTTTTTTTTCAAAAAAAAAATTTTTTTTCAAAAAAAAATGATTTTTTGTCAAATTTATAGTTTCTCAAAAATCTAATTTTTTCGATATAATTTTTTTTCAAAAATGTTGATTGTTTTAAAAAAAAACGATAATTTTTGGTACGGGAAGTTCCAGCAATTTGCCTTAGGCACGATGCCATGCGCCCCACTAGTTAAAATTTGTTTTATAAAAGATGTTTTACCTGCAAATAGTTTTTACAATAAAACTGCCACTCACAAATAAAGCCACTTAAACTCAAATCACAAATCACCAAGGACCACTATCACTTGCGTCTTAATAATGTATCACAATTACATCAAACAATTTAATCCTGATTCCATAAAACGGTGTACGATATTATAATTGTTTCACTCTTGCTTTCGTTTGCTTGGCTTGCAAATGATATGTTAGTAGATCTGGCCTTCGTCGTTAATAACAATTCAATTCATATTATCTGAATAAAACGAGTTTTATCTGTTGGCGGCGATATCGCGACCGCGTCGTCGTCGTCGTTGTCGTGTGTCTCTTTGCGGAGTGAGCGCGAGTGACTAACCGTTCGGCGGGTTAGCGTTCGGCGTTCACGGTTAGCGGCATGTGCTTCTTGTGCGTGCACAATACAGAAGTACGGGTACGGAATACGACCGACGGGGGCATCTCTACGCGACGAACGAGGGGACGGCAGGACGATAGGACGACCGACACCTGGAACGGGAGGGATAGAAGGGATACAAGATACAAGGACCGGTGTCGGATGAGGATTATTCAGGTTGCAAATTTGCGAATGAGATGTTTTTTATTTTATTCGTAAGCCTATTATGCTTATCTTCTATATATATTAAAATAAGTCGGGTTTTCCTTCCTGACGAAATAACTCCAGAACGTACGAACCGATTTCGACAATTTTGCATTCGTTGGAAAGGTCTCGGGCTCCGCAAGGTTTATAGATAAGAAAATTAGTGGTGCATGGCATCGTGCCCTAATGCAAAATGCTGGAACTTTACGCACCGTAATTAAAAATTCAAGTAATGACATTAGTGAGAATTATCAGAATTATGCTTGGTTAAGTCAACGAGCAATTCTTGCCGCAAAGAATAATGATGTACACGCACTGAATTTCACTATTCAATCAAAAATTGCTGGCGATTTGGTGACATACCAATGATTCCGACTGGTCTTCCGTTTGACTTCAAACGATTGCAATTTCCAGCTCGCCTTGCGTTCGCAATAACAAGTCTCAAGGCCAATTGCTTAGTGTTTGCGGGATAAATTTCAAATAGATTATTCAGAAAATTATTGTTTTTCACATGGGCAGTTAAACGTTGCCTGTTCACGAGTTGGAAATGCATCCGTTTTGTTTGTGTTAACGTCAGACCAAAAAACAAAAAATGTGGTTTACCAAAGTGCACTTCAATGAAACGGATAATTTGCGGATTCACTTTCATTTACTTAGAGAAGTTCAACTAGAAAACACTTCATTTTTGTAATTGAAATAAATTCATTACTGTTGTATAATAAAATCAAATTTTTCTTTTTCAAATATAAAACAAACAAAAAAATTCTTCATCTTTCTCACGAAACCATCTGGTGGCGAAACGAAGTTCGTCGGGTTTGCTAGTTCTAATATAAAAGTACAGTGGTATCCTAACATTAACACTAGATATACCAGCCGTTTGAATATACCTATTTCTACCAATACCAGTCAAAATGACTGGTCTCTAAAAAAACATACTTATTGTGCTTTTAAGTTGAACAAAACTAATTACAGCTGTTAAATACACTTGTCAAATAACAAAATATATTAATTTTTAATAGTTTTTACAGTACAGTACTGTCAGTACTTTAGCACAATACTCATTAAAAGTGTCCGGCAGCACCCACTTGTTTGCGCGTAAAATTACAGCTACCGACGTGTTTTTAGATTTTAATTTCAATGCCATATGAATAATTGTAAAAATAATATCGGTTATTGCATTTATACCCTTTATGGTATATGTTTGAAGAAGTTTCATTACTACAAATTCGCTTAGAGGGGTTGATTCTTCATCTTCCGCTAAATACGGGCAACTATTTGCCATATATTTTTTCGCTTTCGTTTCGCGATGTCGTTCGTATGTCGAATCGCTCGTATCTCAAAGCAAATTTTTGCATATGCATTGAAATGCCACTGTGATTTTTGTTAAGTTTTTTGAATACTAAAAAAATGATAATTAACTCCCATAGGGTAAGTTATAGTAATCGCAAAAAAAACGAAAATGAAAATTTTTATATATCTTTACGTTTCAGAGGTTTCTGAACATTTTGGCATACCTTAGAAAAAATGGATGTATGTGTGTGTGTGTGTGCGCGTGTGTGTATGTGTGTGCGGATACAAATTTTTGTCGACGATTTCGGGAACACCGATCAACCGATTTGAATAATTCAAAAAAACATTCGATTCGTATTGATAAGGAGACGTGCTGATTAGTTTTTAGCACAGGCGGGACTAGCCGTTCCGAAAATACGGGGCAAAAAGTGCCAAAAATGGTAACTCAATTTTTAAGAGAACGGAGCGTCCGATTTTAATAATTGAGAAAACATTTTACTTGTATTAACAAGATGAAGAATTGATCAAATTTTTGAGAGGGCAGGTCCAGCGGTTATAGACTCTCAATAAAAATGAGTTAAAAAATATCATTTGGCGGTCAAAAATGTTTATTGGACTTATGCACATCAACTTATCAGATAGTTTATAGAGATTTTCATAATGTGTACACATTTTGGGTATTTTTTTTTTGGGATTGGTACCAGGATTTTTAATTACGATACGGGAAGTTCCAGCAATTTGCCTTAAGGCACGATGCCATGCACCCCACTAGTTAATTTTATTAACAAGCCTCTTATGTTCTAAATCTAATATGAATAAGTACAGTGGAATCCCAAAATTGAGTTTAATTCGTTTCGCAATGTCGCTCGTATCTCGAAGCAAATTTTTCCATATGCATTGAAATGCCACTGTGATTTTTGTTAAGTTTTTTGAATATTAACAAAATGATGATTAATTTACCGTAGGGTAAGTTTTGCATATCTTTACGTTTCAGAGTTTCTGAACATTTTAGCATAACTTAGAAAAATTGATGTATGTGTGTGCGGATACAAATTTTCGTCAACGATTTCAGGAACACGGTTGATTCAACCGATTTAAATAATTCAAACAAAATTCGATTCGTATTGATAAGGAGACGTGCTGATGGTTAGCTTTTGGCAAATTATTTTCTAATGACACCTTGCGTTTTACCGCATCTAACTGGGTTCAAAATATCGAAAATGAAATTTTTTATATATGTTTACGTTTGAAAACCTTCTGAACATTCTGGCATACCTAAGGAAAAATGGATGTATGTGTGTGTGTGCGGATACAAATTTTCGTTGACGATTTCGGGAACACCAATCAACCGATTTGAATATTTAAAAAAAAAATCGATTTCTATTAACAAGGAGTTTTTGGCAAAAGCATGTCCAACCGTTTGGAAGATACTGGGCAAAATGTACCAAAAATAGTAATTCAGTTTTTGAGAGAAACGGACCGTTCAATTTGAATAATTCAAAAAACATTTCACTTGTGAAATGAAGAACTGATTAAATTTTTGGGAAGGCAGTTCTATTATTATAATAATTATTGGGATGGCAGGTCAGAATATTTTATAGAGATTTTGATAATAAGTACAAATTTTGTTTACATTTCTATGAGTTCGGTAATATGTTTATCCGTGAGTCTGCGACGCGGCTTGGATATTTCGTCTCTATATGCAGCACAATTTGAAAAAAAGTTGAACATTTCCAGAATATTTTCAAAAATTTCAAAACTTTCAAAAATCTATTTTTTTCCAAGTTTTCAATAAAAACTTCAAAGTTTTTAAAAAAATTAAATTTCAGCACGGCAAGCCTTAAAGCACAATGCCATGCACCACAAGTTTACTATCAAAAAACAGCCAAATTATTTCTATTGTAGGAATATCATGTTACAACTGACGAAATTTTTCAAATTTTTATTTTGCCATTAGGATTTTTCTAAAAAATTATTACTCGTCCAAAGCTCGTATCTCGAATTTTGCTCGTATGTCGAAGCAACGATAATAAATAAAATAATGTTCAAAATCTGTATTATATCGTATTTTTAGAGAAACCTACAAGATATAGAAAAGAACAGCCCTTAGTTGAATCTAGTAAATATCAATAATGAATTATAAATTTTTAGTCAGTGTATCATCTACTTTTATTAATAAATTTATTTCTGAATTTTTGTACACCCCTAATATTATTTTGGTTTGTTATTTTCTATGCGATGTTTACAGAAGAAAATTTTATGACTCTATTACTACACCGGATTATAAGGTAAAACTCAGGTAAGAAGAAATAAAATTTAGTCCAATAATCCCTTATTTTTGTACGTTGCGCTTGTAAAACTTGCGTAAATATATTTCGTAAGATGCAGGGATTTTACACATTATAGTGAAAATTTTTGCAAAATTACCAAGACTCTAAAATCTTGTACTTTTGGTTGGTTCTTTTTTTCTCAAGCTGTCTCAATACTCAACCCTTATGATCATATATACTTTTTATGAAATGTATTTACAAATTTAAAATCCCTTAATAAAATTAAATGAATAAAAGCATTATAAATGTTTATTAACATGTTGGTTATTTTTTTATAACAAAAGTGAACATTATGGTTCGCTTTTAAAATAATTAATATTCTGCAAAAACAACAAACGGTGTTTGGGTACCAGCTTATAAATGCTTTAACTTTTTCAATTTTAATTTCTAATTTAGCAAATTTTAATCAAATATTCTTGAAAATTTTTACACATTATATCCTTTCGTATGGATTCAGGTTTTTGCCTTTGTTTTCATTTTTATTTCTTCTAAAATATTTTTAATTTTTTGTGCAAATTATGATAAAACAAAACAATTAATTAATTATATTTTATTATATTATATTAGTTATCATATTATTATTTATTATATTATATTAGTTATATTAATATAACGGAAAGACTTTTAAAATTTAGCAATTTTTATTATTTTATTAGCAATTTTTTTTTATTAATAATTTTGATAAATAAATATTTGGTACGAGTAAATATATATCATAATAATTAAATAAATTGTGAAATTAATAATTAAATATAATATATTAAAGTTCCTATAATTTAAAAATAATCTAAATAAATTATTTAATTAGTTTCTATTATAGTTTAATTTTAGCACTCATTTAAATTGGTGCTTCAATTATTTGAGAGCAATTTGATTTATATATTATAAAATATAATTTTTTAATTCAATTATTTTGTGTGCTAAAATTTTGCAGGTTTTTAATTCAATATTCTTTTGAGAGCAATTTGATTTATTATAAAATATATAATATTTTTTTATATATTATAAAATATATTATATAAGAATACAAAATATTAATTTATAATTTGTAATTATGTTTAATGAAATATAATTAATTTCTGAATGAAACTATTAGGTTTATACTTTCATAGGCATAACCTTAAGAAATATGAATCAATATTAAGAATTTGTGATATCTCAATATCTATATGTTGTTATTATTACAAATAAATTATCTGTCGCTGGAAAAAAGTAAACTTATTTAAATGAGCAAGATTTTTCAATAAAAATACAGAATTTAAAGTATATATATCATTTGAAAGTTTAAATTATTTCTGTATAAAAATACATAATATGACTATTTTATTATATATTTTTAACAAAATAATGATGCAAAAATTTTTAGATATATGTATGTATTTTTAGTAAACCAATTAAACAATTAACACTAATTATAACTACTAATTAAAAGTGTAACTTATATATAAGTCATTACGGCCATAAGAGGACAGCACCGTTTATAGTTCTTGGGAATTTTCCAAATAATTCGCATTAGAATTTTAAATATATATGGACATTGAACTATCCATTCTTAATGACTCTTTTATTCATTGAACAGAATGTTTCACTTTTGGAATAGTTGCATTTGAATTTGGCGCTAAATTTTCCGCGAAATCAAGTTCGCAAACAGCTGTTTTCAGGTCAAAGATTCTGCAGAAGCAAAGTTGCGTTGTCAATTTTTTTGTTTGTTTGATTTTGTACTGATTTATAATATCCTGTTAGATTAATTATAATAAAATAATAATGTGATATAAAAATATATAATAAATAGTTTTTTCTGCCGCACATCACAGTGTTTATTTATAATTTGTTATTTATGTGGTTATTGTCATAAAATGGCAGAAATCGCAAATGCCTCGAAGAAAAGCGATAGTTTGGGTTCATCAAATGGAAATTTTATATGTGGAGTTGTAGAAGGTAATAAGAACGATTTTAATACATTTTAGTGAATTTTTATTTTTGTGCAGGTTATGAAAATGTAACTTTGTTTTAGGTTTTTATGGAAGACCATGGACAACAGAGCAGAGAAAAGACTTATTTCAAAAGTAAGATTTAATTAATTATATAGAAGTAAAAGATTCGGGGTTCAAAGAAAAGTGAGATTTGGATATTTAGAATGTCTATAAGTGCCTCGTAATAACACAAACATTTTTAGGATTTTTTAGGTTATTTTGTCAATATTATTATAGATTTTCAAATGATAAATGAGTATGAAATGATAAATGAGTTTTATACTGTTAAAAAACTTAATAACACAATAATTGGTGCATCATGTTCTATAACCACAATATTAAACATGATTTCATCTATGTAAACCAATAATCGTTGGTTCTATTTTCGTTTCTTTCAAACATTACCAAAGATAACTATTGTCAATACTTATTCTGACAACTTTGATATTTCCATTACTATAAGAAATAATTTATTTTACTTAGGTTAAAAAAATGGGGAATGGATTCCTATGTATACGCCCCAAAGGATGATTATAAACACAGAGCCTATTGGCGTGAGCTATATACAGTTGAAGAAGCAGATCATTTAACCGGTTTAATTACCGCTGCAAAAGATCAAGGAATCGACTTTTATTATGCACTATCCCCAGGTTTAGATATAACTTATAGTAATTCAAAAGAAGTTTCTGCACTGAAAAGAAAGTTAGAACAAGTATGATAAATTTATTCTAATTTTTCTGTTACATATCAAATAACTTGTATACTAATTCAGTTCTTTAATTTTTTCAGGTATCTCAATTTGGTTGTACAGCCTTTGCTCTATTATTCGATGATATTGAGCCTGAAATGACTGAACCCGATAAGGAAATTTTTCAGAGTTTTGCACATGCACAGGTGAGGTTTTTATTCTTAGTATAATTGATTCAAATCGACCTTTATAGTATACAAAGATACTAGATATAGTTGTGACTATAAAGTAAAAATGAAGTCCATCCTAAACTTCATCTTTAACTAATCTACAATCATAAGAAATCCTCAAATTTTATTAGTAATCAATTATCCAGCAAATTTTTTAGTTTATTATTAATTAGGAAGCATAATTATATACAAATGAGTTTCCTGACAATGCATGCAATTTGATTTGATATTCAGAGATATATTAATAAATATTTTTTAAGGTTTCTGTGACAAATGAAATTTTCCAACATTTAGGATGTCCAAAATTTTTGTTGTGTCCTACGCAATATTGCAGTACGCGAGCTGTTCCTTCTGTCACGCAATCAGAATATTTGAATACACTTGGATCAAAATTATCAACTGAAATTGATATTATGTGGACAGGTAAGAAATAATTGATTATTGATCATTAAAAGTTTATTTGTATGTTTATAGTCTATTTTTAATTATATCATACATAATTCCAATACTCTTAAGTTTGAAAATTTATTATTGATTATTTCATTTTTTTATTTAATTAGGTCCCAAAGTAATCTCAAGGATATTGACTGTAGAATGTATTAGAGAGATAACAGAAGTTTTGAGGCGACCACCAGTTATTTGGGATAATTTGCATGCAAATGATTACGACCAGAAAAGAGTATTTTTAGGTAAGAAATTTACAATATAAAAATTGTATTTTGAAACTACAATTTTTTGTAACATCATGTTCATTGTATATTACTTTGATTATTTTTATTTGGAATATATTCAAGCTTTTTATATTTCAGGTCCCTTCAGGTCCCTACTCTGGTAGATCACCTGAATTAATACCATATTTAAGAGGTGTTTTGAGTAATCCCAATTGTGAATATAATGCAAATACTGTAGCCATTCACACATTAGCGCATTGGTCAAAATGTAGTTTCGATGCTAGACATTCAAGTAAGAATTATCATTTAATGATTTGTAGACTATCATCACACTCATTTTTTTTATCAATTCCCAGATGATTCAATTTCTGCAGATATTAAATTGGAAACAGAAACTGAAGAAGGATTTAGTAATGAAGATGCACCAATGGGCCTTTCAAAAAATACATATCATCCAAGGCAAGCTTTAAGAAATGCAATAGCTGAATGGTTGCCTGAATTTTCAATACAGAAAGCTGCCTTTGGACCATTTATTAAACCACAACCATCAGTGCCAGGTAAAAATATTGAATGGAAATAGAAAGAAATATTTGATTAAAATAGGAACTTGATTAAAATAAAATAATAAGTTAAATGTATGTAATATAAAATCAATAACTTATCAATTGTGTTCTACATTGGTATGTTTAATATTGGTTTTTCCCATCGTCACCCTTCAGGCTTTATTCCAACAGCGATGCCGATCATTCCAATACTGCCCTCAGTCAACACTTGCATGAGTTTGACCACCACTACCAGCTCCACCACCACCACTGCTATACCAGTTGTACCGACTAATCAACTTCAAGCATTGGCAGACGTTTGCAGCACGGTTAGTATTGAGTAGCAGACTGTTTGGATCCATTTTGGAAAATTTATGATTTTGATGTATGGCTTGATGTATTGAGTGTTTTATTATCCTTATTGTTTTTATTTTCAGGTATCAGGCAATGAGCAATTCAGCCCGCTACCAAACCCTGTGATGAATTCTCTAGTATCTCCCACAAAAGTAGTATTAAATGATTCTATACCCAATCCCATAACTAGTACTGTAGCCAATCTGCCACTTCCTCAAAACATACCTGTTTCCAGTATTCCCGTACCAATTATGTCTATTAAAGCCATGGAATCAAGTCCTGCTATTGAAACTGAACATATTTGCAATGATAGTCAAAATGAAATGGCAGTAAATAATTCTACAAATGAAGTGGATAAAATTATTGATGATGATACTGTAGATCCTGATGTTGCAGCTATTATTACGCCAGCGGTTTGTGAAGATTCAAAGTTAAATAAGATGGTCAGTGGGAATGATGAAGATTTTGTAGTTTCAAACAAAAGTGTGATAAATTGTACTGAAATGAATGGTACAGCTAAACCAATGAATGGTGATATGGCAACAGGTAAAAAAAATATTTGGACATAATAATATGCATAATAGAAGTAAATTATGCCATTTTGAACCAACTTCTAAAATTATTAAAATTTTTTAATAATTATTCTGTTTCAGAGGATAGTTCTCTTTCTGAGCCAATGGAATGTGGAAGCAGTAATACTTCTCAGCCCAGTCCCGTCCATGTAGTTAAAACAATTGAAACAGATGTTATTATGTCAGAAAGTACTTCGGTAGGATAATTTTAATTATCATCTGTTTTAGTTTTATTCTACTTCAGATTATTAAATGGGCTAATAAACATTAATTTTTATTGTGATTTTAGTCAACAAATTATAAGTTATAATAATTTATAATAACCAAATAATTTCGTGATTGATTTTCACATAGTTGAAATCAAGAATTTATTTAACTTCTACTTATTATTCCATGATTTTTTTTATTCAATTCCATATCACTTTGAATTCACTCTTTCTAGAACTGTTCTGGAGGTAGTATGCAAGTTGAGACGTCTGATACTGCATCCATTTCAACTGTTGGAACTACTGAGATGACTATTGATGCAGAAAAGTAAGGATTTTATTTAAGGTCACTTCATAGGTAGTTGATTAATATTGTTTCTGTTTTTTTATTTTCAGGACAGATTTAGTTATGGAAGATTTGGTGTTACTCTGTGATTTATTCTATTTGCCTTTTGAACATGGAAGTCAGGGTTTGCAATTATTACAGGAATTTCATTGGTTGAAAACGAATGCCCAATTAGTTATAATATCGAATAGAAGTAATGAAACTATGTCTAAACCAGAAGTAAGCATAACAGGAACTAAGTATTCTATAATAATACTTTATATATTTTTCATAAGAATGTTTATTTTCAATTTTGTTCTTTATTTTTTTTAGGTTCAAGAATGGTTTAGAAGATCAGATAAATTTTCAACTTTATGTTACTCTGTTTCAAGATTAGCATTAAAGTTAGCTCACTGTCAGAATCGAGAATTATTACATGACCTATACTCGTATGTTTGGGACATGGGAAATGTTGTCTCGTTACTAGATTCATATGTGAAATGGCTAGGTAGGTGCGTGGGCAATATAGTAATTTAAAAATAATAATATAAATAAGTTTACTGTACATTGAATTTAAAGAAAATGATTTGCATAATAATGTTGAAATATCTTCATAGATTTATTTTTTTTTCCACAGCTTTGGGTAGATTTCCAACAAATATGGCCAGTTATATCCAAGGAAGTTACACATGTAAGTATTTTTAATTTTATAAATTTATTACTTAGTTATTTGAAGTTTTTTTAAATTTTATCTAGTTATTAATTCTGGTTTATTTTCTTTAGTACCTCATTTAATAAAACATATGTTTTTTAAATTAACTTTCAATTTTAGGGTTTTCTAAAGGTTGGAAAGAAGCATTTATGAGTGGAGATCAGGAACCTTGGGTTTTTAGGGGTGGTCTCACAGCTGATTTACAGGTAACATATGCTCATATTAAACACGGCATTAAAATAATGCTATTATGTCGAATATTTTACAATATCTATTTATTTTATACTTTGTTGTCTGTTGCTTTCTCACCCCAACTAATATATTGTAATCTTTTTTATAAAGATATAAAGAAATTTCATCTTACATTTTTTAGAGGCTGATACCAGTAGATGCCGGAAACGACCTGTTCATCTACAAATTACCAGAATTACCGGAGCTAACTTTATACACAATAAGACCTTACACAAATTCTGATGAGGCTCGGGTTTATAGAATATGCCACGAAACCTGTAGAGATGGTTCGGATGCTACTGAATTGTTTCCTGAACATTTACAAGGTTAGCAATACTAACATTTTGTACAGATAACAGATATAAATGTTTTATGCCTTGAAGCATTTGAGAATGGACTTGTCTTGTAAATTTATAGTTTGAAACAATTTTACTTTAATTAATTTTGTTTTAATTTATTTTTCAAATTTGTGTTTAAGTTTTATATTATTATTACAGGTATTCCTGCTGATAGGCTAGTCGGTCCGTTTTTGACTTTGGTTCCTGAATTTTGTATGGTGATAGAAGATGGACGTGATATTGTCGGTTATGCATGTGCTGCATTAGATGCTAGAGTTTTTTATAGAAATCAACAGGTTAGTCGTGATATTAAGATAATTTAATAATCTGGTGTAACATCAGAATTTTTCTAAAACAAATATTTTGTTTTGGCTATAGTTTTGTAGTCCAGTTTCCATGGGAACTAGAAAAAATGGGACTGAAATACGCAATATTAACGTCTTTGAATTAAAATCTAAAAAATATTTTACAATTTGCTTTACTAAATATAAATATCGATAATCTGTTATCTGATTTTTCAAAATTCTACAAATTGTTTTACTGAATGCTGTAAAAATTGTCTTTCACTATAACACAGAACAACCAAAATTCAGCATATTTATATTTGATAAAATGCTAAAAAATATACTCGATAGTTATCCATGATTTTTTTTAAATCAAATAACTATCTGAAAATTTTTGCGACATGATTTTGTGTAAAATAATTTAATTATATGAATAGAAAGTCGTTTTTAACTTATCTTTATGTAGTTTACATTTATTTATCTTATTGTGGAGTTACAGTTACATATTGGAGCAGATAAGTATAATGAGCGCTTGCGAAATTCATATAAAAAGAGTCAAGAAAAAGATTGGAAAAAATAACATGAGTCCTTTTGACACTGAACATTTTTTTACAATTAAAAATCATATTACAAAATCCTAAGAGCAATTAACCAATACAAGCAATTAATGTACAAAAAATATTTGGCGAAATAAATTAAAAGCATTAAAATTCGAATCGGTGAAAGCAAATTGGTTCGATGGCTTCATTCTGGCAGCATTTTTATGTTAAAGAAGGTCCCATGTACGGCAGTTCATCAAATATCAATGTGGTTGGCTTTTTAATAAGATTCAATTTGAAAACGTTGCTTTTGTTAATTGATTCTAATTGATAAAAATTCATTATTCTCTCGGCGTTGTATGGAGGAGCTAGAAGATCAAAGAAAGCGGCCGGTTTATCCATACATTCTATTTCGTGGTAGTTACCTTTACGTGGGGTAAGGATTGAAACTCTTGACTTGGGATCAAATACAGTTTCTGTCATTTTAGTGACGTATAATTGCTGATTGGCTTCTTTGTTCTTAGAATCTTCAGGTTTATTAGCGTCTTTCGTTTTAAGTCTTTTGTTATTCGCGGCCGTCGTGGTCATCACCTTCAGTTGAGTTTCGCTGTAAGACGCTATTCTGACTTTACCATCAAGGATTTTGATAAACCCATGCATGTTTGGATGGTCATGCAAAGGAATTTTCGTGCCAGGTTTCAAAATGTACACTTTCATAGTCAGCAACTTATCTAGATACACATCCATGCAATAGAAGGCCACTTTCGATTCCTTTGTCCAAAATTTCGGGTCCAACTTATCCAAATTCAAATTAATGTCTTTGCATTTCATCTGATGTATCACACCTTCTAAGGACTTCACGTTTGAATCAAATGCCGAGTCCTTCTCCTTTTTGATGGGAAGAAATCGGCTTCGGCCAAATGTCTGAATAGATTGCCGAAATAGTCTTGACACCAGCGTTGTTGCCATCTTTTTATTATTTGTACTTTGTATCCGATTCAGCGTCACTTGTAAATTTCGTCAATGAAAAAAATATAAGTCGTACGATGGCCAAATTTTGTGCAGTTTATATATACATTACTAACGTAGGGTTATGCCGGTACAAAATTATGTGAAATTTATTTTACTTGTATTTTCATAAAAAAGAGAATCGTACATTTGTTTTTCGAAAAGGCGCCTATTTTGATGTTTTATATTTTTTTTTGAAATGTGTAAATATAAATTAAAATATAATAAAGAGTGACCCGACGTACGTGTGTTTCGAGATACGAGCACTGAGCGAGTAAGAACTTAAGACAATGATTTTTTCTACCACAGAAATATTTTGGCATTTTTATTGTCCATAGTAAATTATTTTCTAGTTAGTCATTTTAATGATCAATTACATATTATGTAACGATTTACCGAGAATTATTTGATGTTTGAAGTTTTAACTACGCATTATTAGGAGGCGTTCATTAATCACGTTAGGTTTTTAGGGTGAGGGGGGCTTTTACAAAAAAATACGAAAAATCACGTAAGGGAGGAGGGGCATAGTAAGATATCACGTGTATTTATTTTTTACCAGAATCCAAGAATTTTGAAAGAATTTCTCGTAACTAAAAATACACGTGATGTTTGGTTGCGAAGGGAGGATAATTTAGAATATATATGTAATTGTACAGTTAAATGTTGAGGTTTTTGCCTTTTGTACATTTACAAAATATTATTTACTTTCATAAAGAAAAGGGCCATGTCTCTTGAATTAAAGCGTGAAATATATAGAAAAATATGAGGATGGCAAGTAAGGTATAACTTCACCTAAGTGCCTTACAATATTATAATAAGCAGCTTTTTGAGCTCTATAGATAAAAAACACAATCAATATCATGAATAGACAGGATAAAACAATTCTTAAATTAATAAATAGTAAATTTATTTAGCAAGAATTCATTGGGAGCCGCAAACCGAATCATTCGGCATCTCTGGTTCAGATATTAAATTCATAACTTTTTCTAATTATATATGATTCTCTTTTTCAGATGGCTTGGATTCCTGAAATGTGTCTCAAGTATCCAGCTTCACTTCTGGACGACGGCAGAGAACTTTCACAAGCAGCAAAGGTATTTATAGAATCAACTATAATTTATTATGATTTTGTAGTTATCATATACATGTGTTTATTTTAAATGGTTTAGATTAGAAAGCATTCACGAACATTACTTCAAAATATTTTCACATATATTTATGGCTTATTTGCACGTTGCCAGACATTCTTCCGGTTGAGGTTTCCAGTTACTGGACGCCAACGATTTGCTTTGGGAAAGCAGGCCAGTAGCTGGCAACGCCAGCGATATTATTATTATTTCTTACTAACAGATATAAAATTGGAAATGACCTGGTATTTGTTACCCAAGCTTGATAAAAACACTCTTTATTATATTTATGGCTGGTAATGGATATCGAAGTGGTGGCAAATACATGTCGATGTGAAACTACTAAATTTGATTGGTGCAATGTCTTTGTATAAGGATTAAAATGGAAATGTTATATTAATTTTTGGGAATGCTTTTGAAAATGTTCTGTAAAATAAATACTGAATCAAAATTTTAAACATGCTCAGTTTGATATTCTTTGTGCTACCTGCCATTCCTGCTATATGTGGTCAATAATAATTACGTTGTATGTTAGCATGTTATTTTCTTTAATGATGTTTTTAAAACCATTCATGTTTCAAAAAATTGTTTGAAAAGTTTGAAAAATGTTCCTTAACTTTGTCATTTCAAATTTGAATCCAAATATATTTTATATTCATAAATGTTATATTTATTGCTCGTTTGTTTTTCAGGAATCTTTAAACCATTTCCACAACTTCAAATATGAATGTCCAGACAGTGTCCATTCTCAACATCCTTCCATAATGTGTTGCAGTGTATTATCAGTTATATCTGATTGTTCTATTGCTAAACGACTTGTAACCTGCATGCTGGCTGCCCTTAGGGCTAATGGTAATGTATAATTTTTTATAATATTAAACATTTTGTGATCAATAAGAGTCACTATAAATGAGTATAGTTTATGGTGTTTGGTGAATTATTATAAAGTTGATATTTCTTTTACTAGGTTCCTTTGGTGTTCATGTATGCATTAATTCAACTGATCTTTATATGAATCAATTCTACTCAAAACTCGGATTCATGGAAATCTATCAAGATCCAATCAATTTAAGAGTCTACCTAGGAAGGACATTCTAGCATAAGAAAAAGCCACTTCTAAGTGGGACAAACATCATTATCAGAAGCATCATAAGCAATAAGAATAAATCATAGCAGGGCTAAAAATTAATTGAATATTTTGAGCTTGTTGGAAAGCGGCACCGGATCGATTTATTTATGATATTTTAATCTAATCTTATTTTTACCTCTTTGATTAGTGGTTGTATCTCGAGTGGTTTTTGGATGAAACTATTTTTATGTCGTCCATCTATGGCTGATGTTTTGCTGTGTAACATATATGTTAACTATATATTATAATGTAATATAAATAATCATGATTTGTAAACTCTGTTGAGTCGAATATTACATCAAAGTTTTATATTAAATGATTTTTATTTTATATAATTGTTTTTTTCTATTTTTTGTTTTCAGTCAAATGATGTTTTCCTGTTGTTTTACTTTGCATGTCTGTATTTATCTTTAGCTTATGAAGGTAAGGCATTTTGAATTTGAAAAGTAATTTGTCAATTTTTTTTTTATTAAATAGTTACAATTGAAATTGTCTAAGGCTATGTAGCCTTCTGTTAGTAAAATCCATTCTTTTAATTTTAAGTTTAGAAATTTGAATTTCGCGCTCTCGACGTCCTTTTACAAATCACATCGCCGTAGCGCTGGCGGCCAAAATATTGAATGGATTTTGGAAATTCAAAAACCCCGCTTGAAAGATATGTGTTGGAAATTGTGCTGATTAGTTTTCAGTAAGAATCGGCCAGGCCGTTTCTTCGTAATATTGTTATAAAAAAAATTGACAATTGGGTGTACTAAGTGAAAATCTTAAAACGTTATAGACCTACGTAAAGTGAGTCATTAAAAATCATTAAAGTTTTAAATAATGGGTCGTTCCTAAGACGCATGTCGGAGGGAATTGTTCGTTTCTAGATAAATAATTTAAAATATTTAAAGCATCTGTCGAATATGACTGGAATGTATGGAAAACTTCTACAAAATTTAATAATAGTTTTCAACATTAGAAAGTTATGACGCATCTCGGTATATGTCAATTAATATATTGATATCTTATTGATAGGGTTGATATTAGGATGAAATTAGGTAATATCAATGCAAGGTGTAAGTTATCATTTTTTGTTTACGCTTAATTACAACCACTGACCTGTCATGTAATCGGCCGGAACTTAGAATTGATTTGCTCAAATCCCTAGGACGGCACTTGATAAAATTTCACTTGCATTTAATGTTGATACAAATAGTAAAACTGAACCAGTAATAGATGTTTTATCGAACAAACAATTAGTAGAAAATAATGCACTTATACACCCACTGCATGACGTTCGGGTACTAACGAAGTAATTCGTATTGACGATCGTTCAACAGAATACTGCGAACAAGATAACCAACGTTCAAAAATGAAAATTTTGATATATAAAAAAATTCGTTAAAATAATTTGAAATATAAATTTGTTAACTGGGAAGACTTAATGCAATTTTTTTTATTATTTATATTATTTTAATCATTTTAAAAGTATAAATAAAAACTTAAAGTATAAGCGTGTAGGAAAACTTTTATAACATTGTTGCTAAAATTATTACACATAAACGGTTTTTTTTTTTCAATATTTACATAAAATCAAACATTTTCCAGATTTTAAACATAAAACAAATTTTGTGTTTGTTTCACATTAATAAAATTAATATATAAAAGTATGTAACAAACATTAATTTCTATATCATTCACAAAATTCATGCAAAGTATTTATATATAATAAATTAATAAAATGAGCTTTTTAACTTGCAGCAAAATAAATACTTAGATAAGAATTTCATTTTGTTTATTTGTAAAATGTACAATTTTTTGAACTTGCTTTAATGATGACAACTCATACAGTGTTAAAATGTACAAATTAAATAATTCAAATATTCATCCTCAACAAAAACTTCATTTGAAGGATCATCTAGTGCTCCATGTACCATCATAGATAATGAGTATAAATACTTCCAATCATCTTTTTAACATATACTATTTAATGGCAATTTGTCCAAATTTGCTAATCCATCCACAGTATACAAATAATAATTGTATGAGATTATGATTATAAATACATATAGTTATTATATCACAATAATGCCAAAGATTTAAAACAAGTAAATTGAGTATTTATTGCTTATTGATAACTGTAATATAAATATACATATAGATAAAAAGTAAATTAAAGCTGTTTCTTATTAAAATCTCTTTAATACCTTAGTAACAATAGCAAAAGAAGCTGGTCAATTCATTTAGTTTATATTGCATTTTCATATATATTGATATCAAAATATTAATGTAAATTATTCAAATAATTTCTATGCGTCAAAATTTGCCATACATAATAGACTCTTATTTATAAATTATTAATGGTAATAACAATATATTCTATAAATATAAGTAAAATTCTAAAGTTTTATAAATACAAAATTAGTTAAATATTTTAGAAAATTTGTTGCTTACTCTAAGATAAAATGCCCTTAATCATCATGATAATACATTACTCCAGTCAACTTTGTCCTGATCAGTGATCCACAAATGTTTTGATAACTCTAAAAGTGATATTCTTTGAGAGGGATTCGCCACTAATAATTTACTTATTATTTCTTGGGCATATTGAGAAATAAAGGTAGGTAAGACATATTGCACATTTAAAATTTTATGATGGCTATCTAAATTATTGTCACTCATAAAAGGAGTTCTCCCTGACAATAGTTCATAACATAAAACTCCTAATGCCCATAGATCTACTGCATTCGTATATTTCTTTCCTTGAATCATCTCTGGAGCCAAATAATCGGAAGTGCCACATAAAGTATCCATATTAGAACTAGGCATGTGAACTGCCCATCCAAAGTCTGCTAGTTTTATTTGTCCTCTATGTCCTAATAGTAAATTTTCAGGTTTAATATCACGGTGAACAACTTTTCTTTCATGGCAATAATCCAGAGCAGATATAACATCTTTTATGTATTTAGCAGCTTGTTTTTCTCCAAAACGCTTGTTTGGTTGCTCTTGCATAAGCTGTATTAAACAAATAAGAATATAAGCTATGCCAATAGTAATTTTATTTACTAATAAATGCTGGACCTGTTCTGTAATGATTGAAGTGCCTAGTAATGAGATCAATTTTTGTTAAACATATAATATTTATTTAAAATTGAAAATAGCACAAAATACTGGCAGCGGATAATCTCTTATACTGTACTATCCCAATTCAAGTTATACCTGAACTAGGGATTTTTAAGCACACGATTTGCCTTTGAACAGAGCACCCATAAATATTTTATAGCTATGACATTACCAATCAGTTATATATTATATATTTTCAACAAACCTCATATAAAGCTCCACCTGGTGCAATTTCTAGAATTAAATAAATTCGCTTATCATCATGAAAGTATCCATACATTCGTAAAATATTTTCATGCCAAAGATGCATATGTATATCTATCTCTCGCAGAACCTGGTTTTGAAATTTTTCTTGTAGCACATCTTTCTTCAAAATTACTTTTAAAGCTACAACGAACTTTGATAGTTTTTCTCTGGCTAAAAATACTTTAGAAAAATGTCCTGTTCCCAAACATTTGCCTATATCAAAATCATGTAGATGAAAGTCTGTTCTTTTTCTATCCTGACAATCCTCTAACACTGCGGTATTGCATGCCGTACGAGTTGAATCTTGTTGATTCATGATAAAAGAATTCCAATTATTTTTGATAAAATATAATCGTTTAAATAATTTATAAAATAACGAAGTTTAGAGACCGCTATAAGTTAAAATCAAAGCATTTGTCATAAAAACTTTTAAAACCAATTACACAATTAAAGTAAAATAAACGTCAAGTCACCGGTAAAAATATATTGCGAATTATAAAAATATAGGTTTTCATTATTTAATAATATATTTTTGGCATTTGTCGTTCAACAGTTAAAATGGCATTTTGTTTCTTAAACCATAGATAACACAGAAAGATGTCCGCCCAAGCCTGTCACACGAATATTATTATTGTCCCCTGACTTAGCACAAAGCTGCCTAAAGAATGAAATTTACATTTTTTCAACGGTTTCGATCATTTTAAACGTTTTAAATATTTTAAATCATTTTTTAAATAAAGTAAAATAAAAATATCTGTACACACGCTTTTCTTCATAATTTAAGTTTCTTAATATTGCCACAATAGCGCTAGTGTAGTGTTGAGTGACTTTTCTCGTTCATAAAATAATCATTGTCTACGTTTTCATTTCATTTATAATGGTACGATGAGGAGATGAGGATATTTTAACATGAAATTAAACTGAAGACGGACATCCTTGTACAAGTGCATAAGGCGTTTTCCATATTAAGAAATTTTGTAGTCTTTTAATGTTAACATATTAAAAACGTAGTACCAGCTTGAGCTCATTTGACATTTTGCAGCCAACCGCCATACAAAAGTTCGTTAATAAGTTAGTGCAATAATATATTTAATAAATGTTAAAACTGTGGAGGTAATTTGATTGATAAACCATAAACATGAATAAAAACACCGTATCCAAGCATTTAACGTCAGTGCCCGTTGTCAAAAACACACAGAAACCTGAAATAGTCAAACAAACTTTTAACAAAGAGAATGTTGAACAGAACATACGTAAACCACAAACACTAAATAATGAAGAATCCCGAAATCCTACGACAACTGTACCTGGCCCTTCTGTAGATAAGAAACCAGCTGACTCTACAAAGAAAGTATGGCAATTATCTGATTTTGATATAGGAAAAGCCCTGGGGCGAGGAAAATTTGGAAACGTATATATGGCACGTGACAAAGCATCTAAATTTATTATAGCCTTAAAAGTTTTATTCAAAGATCAAATAGCATCGTCTCAAGTAGAACACCAAGTTAGACGAGAGATAGAAATCCAGTGCCATTTAAAGCATGAGAATATCTTGAGAATGTATGGATATTTTCATGATGATAAGAGAGTTTATTTGATTTTAGAATATGCCCCTGGTGGAGCTCTGTATAAAGTATGTACAATTTATTTTGTGGTAAGTGTATCTTTAAACACAAGTTATTGATTCCTATACTTTTTATTTCAGGTAATGCAAGAGCAACCAAATAAGCGATTTGAGGAGGCGCAAGCTGCTATATATATTCGTGATTTGGCATCTGCACTCCTATATTTACATGATAGAGGTGTTATACACAGAGATATAAAGCCAGAAAATCTATTATTGGGTAACAAAGGACAATTGAAAATAGCTGATTTTGGTTGGTCAGTCCATGCACCAAGTTCTCGAAGAACCACTGTTTGTGGAACATTAGACTATCTCCCTCCAGAGATGGTACAAGGAAAATCTCATACAAAACTAGTAGATCTATGGTCACTGGGAGTTCTATGTTACGAGTTGCTGGTAGGAAAGCCTCCTTTTGAAACCGAAAGTTACGACCAAACTTATATTAAAATTTGCAAGGCTCAATATACCACACCAAACCATGTATCAATGGCTGCATCTCATTTAATTAAATGTCTTTTGAATGTAGAGCCAGAAAAACGCATACCTCTAAAAGAGGTTTTAAAACATCCTTGGGTCAATGGTTCAATGCAACCAAAGATAAATAATTAAAAGAATATTTCTTCACTTTATACCCACAAATATTTTATATTAATAATTTGTGCTATTTTTATAAGAATTTTTATTCAAAACTGTATATAGAAAGATTTAGGATTGTACAATTTATTTTAAATTTTAAAGTTTAGTTTAAAAACTGTTGTAAGCATTCAATTGGGTTTGTAACCCTAGTCATATTGAAACGTATTGAAAATATAATTTATGATAAAATTGTTTTTCAAACCATTTTATTTTATAAGTTACCGTATCAGCATATTAAATTCCATTGAATTCTTGTTAAAATCAATCATAATTAATAGTTTGAGAATTGCAAAACCATGATTAATGAAATTACTGAATAATCTATTTCTCCATTTCATTTTGATACATACTGTATATGTTTCACAATTTGTTATATCTTAACAACAGTGTATTATTAATTACTCTGTTTTGTAACCAGAATGATCTCCATGAGATTCATTCACAAAAAATTGCTCAGATGAGTATTTTCTTTTAGTTTTTTCCATGTAATTTTCTTCCTTGCCCCTTATTCTCATTTGTCTGTGATTTGAACTATTATTATCACTGCACAAATTAACCATGTCTTCTAAATACTGGATCATACCCAAAAGTTCTTGTTCAAGTTGTGCATTTGTTGAAAAATCGAATGATTGAGGATCGCATCCTGGAGCACCTTTGAAATATTGAATTCAGTGATAATAACCGTTGAGTTTAGCATAATTATATTAAAGATTTATTATTTCTATATTTTTATTAAGTTAAGGATTCAAAACCTTCTGTGGCTTGAACATTCTCCCATTTAGTGAAGGCATCGGTTAATGCTAAATATAGTTCTAATTTTTTTGGGCAAGTCCATAATTCAGCTTCCCTGTCCAAATGAATTTTTGAAATCGCATCTAAATTGCTCCATGTATGAAACAACCGTACTAGCCTTGGAACTGTTGTTAAAATAATTACTTTAATTTAGTAAAATTATTAAAGTATGTAATTTGTGTATTATAGTTATTTAAGGTATAATTTGTTTTATATTGAAATATATGAATTATGTGATTAATATAATATAATCTATGTGTGGTTTAATTATAATATAATATAATTGAGTTACAGAGAAGCTGTGAGTGTTATAGCTCATAGATAATACAACTATAAATACAAATAAATATTTAACTAATATTAATTGGATTAATTTTTCATTTGTACTATCAAACATAGAAAAGGAATTCCAATTTTTTTCTGCAAATTGTAATTGTTTGATTTATTATTACAAAGTTTATTGAAAATATTTCCAGTATTACACAGTTTAATGAATTTTTATAACTAAACCGTTTGTGGTAGACCATTAACATTCATAGAGAACTATCATTATATTGTCTAGGATCAAAATCATCAAAAAATATAATTATAACAATTAATTACAAAGAAACTGTTCGACCGATTTTTACCAAATCAGCATGATTCCTAAATGATTTTTTGAGCAGGATTTTTGAAAAAGTTGGACGTTCGTCTACATATATGTTTCGAAACATATATATAAAAGAAGGTGTTTTTCTTTAGAGGGGTATGGGCTGTGCTAAATAAGAATAAATATTTTTTTATTCGTTCGAAGGACATACTTTGCATGTATATTTTTATTCTCAACGTCTTGTTGACGCGACCATCTGTCATTGGGATGTTGTCAGATCGTATGACCTCAAACAAAAATATTATTGCGTTGTAATGTAAAATAGTAAACATCAAATTTTTTAGCTCGTTTGAGAATTATTTCTTGTGCAATAATGGCTCTTCTTCCACCGGATCCTGTCTACATCCTTAGAGGAAATACACCAATCCAATCATTAGCATTTCACAAAGGATTCGACAGGTTATTCAGCGGAGACCAAGAGGGCACGGTCAACATCTGGGGACTACAGACCAATAGAATAGAAAATACCATCAAAGTCGGAGATAACAATGTAATTCATCTATCCCATACTAAAGACAACCTTATAACGCAAGACAAAAACGGCAAAATCAAATACTGGAATTTCGGTCTTAAAGGATACGAAATCGGCGAGGTCATATATTCGGATTACATTGGTTTTAGTAAATTTTCTATCTCTGAGTCTGACAAATTACTAATTGTACCTGACAAAAACTCTGTTATTAAGGCATACAATTTACAAGGGTACTTAATTACTGAAATCGTACCTGATGACCCTAAACCCCTTGGAATTGTTATGTGCACAAAAATCATAACACTGCATAACGAAGTTTGTATTCTAGCAGCTTATGAAAGTGGTGATTTACTTTTGTGGAATTTAAACAAAGGTAAAATTCTAAGTAATCTCAAGTTATCAGAGTTCCCGATAACTTTGGATTATGATCAAACTGCCAATCGTGGAGTGTATGGATCCAGCTCGAATATCATACATGTATTTAGTATAAAATTATCAACAGATGAACTGTTTAAAAAATGTGATATAAATTTGAAGAACAGCGGAATAAATCATCTCCAAATAAGAAATGATAAAAAAGTCTTTGCTAGTGGAGGATGGGATGGAAGTCTGAGAATATTTTCATGGAAGAGCTTAAGACCACTTGCAGTAATGAATGTTCATAATGGGCCTATTAATTGCATTTCATACTCTGAAGACAAAATTAGCACTTGGTCCAACTCAATTTTAGCAGCTGCTGGCAATGATGGAAACATTTCTTTGTGGGATTTATATAATTAAACTTTTGTGATATATATTTTTATATGAATGTCATAAGAATAATAAAGATTTGATTATTACTGACCTTCTGGAATTACCATATATATGGCATCACAAACTTCTTCCCGTAGCATTCTGGCATTTCATATTCAATCTTATTTCTTTTTGTATCAAAATATTTTTATATAAAAGTCAAGCCTGACAAAACAATACTCATTTGTTTTTAATAATATTCAAACACTTATATATCAATGGTATAGTTTTTTAATTTGAACACTATCTTTCACAGTATAATTTAAGGATTAAAGTTGTAATACTGTTAGCAAATTGATTACCAATGTTTAATTTTCCTGCTTAATGTTTATTGTTGCTAACCTGCTTTAAGTTTGTTTTGTTGCTAACTTCTTTCAAATACACTTGATAGATTTCAATTAGCTAATGAAAAGTTAAAATAAAAGATCACTGTAGATATTTATTAAATTAATATCTAAAAGTAGAACAAACTGAATATAAGAAAAAGTGTCCTGTAATGACATTTGCAGAAAAACTAAATTTTAATTTACTGTGATCTTCACTTTTTCAAATAAAAAACAAATATTTTAAATATATTTTATTCAAGAACTTAAGACAAACTTATTTTTTTACAACTTTTTTAGGCTTCGGTTTGTCTCCACCTTTGGTGGCTGTGCCTTTACCAAATAATGATCCATTACGTGCTGCAGTCTTTCTTAAGCAGTTGAAAGCAACAGTGCGTAGACGATTTCTTCTTTGACGTGCTTTTCTCAATTTGAAGCGGTCAAAATCTCCCATATTTGCTCTCTGCAAACGAAATAGATGAGTCAAAGTATTGGGCAGTAAAGTACTAATTCAATTTAATTTACACAATATAAACTAGTTCAACAATTTAGTTCACTTAGTTACTAAGTAAAATTTTCACATCTTACCGCTTGTTTAGCTGCGAGCTTTCTAGCCCACATGCTCTCTGCCCATTTTTCATCAACTTTAGCATCTGTCCATGCTTTTCGAACAACACGTGTGGAACCAAGGTATGGGAATTTGATGTTGAACTTAGTTAAATGTAATTGATTGATTCTTAATGCTTGGCGTGGAACACCACTACATGGACCATCAACAAGCACCTGTAAGTTAGATTACAGTATTAATATTGAAAAGAACCAAAAAGAAATAAAATTGTATTATTGAGTACAATCAGTTAAGTGTATACTAGCTTCATATGTGTATCAGTCGGCAATTCCTATCAAGAATTGGATCATCATAAAATATAGAATGAGGGCAATAAACATTTTTAA